CTTCCTGGAGCCAGCATCCTCTCCTCCCTCCCTCTTGAAATCTGAGCCCGGGGATCCAGGGAGCTCTCGCCCTGCAAAACATTCCATCCAGTTGTCCAAACACTCTGCACAGCTGGCGGAGGGAGGGGCCCGAGCCTGGCTTTCAGGGAAGCCTTGGGCTGTTGTTTTCATGGAAATGGCTGAGTCCTTACTCAGAGGGCCAGTCTGGGATGCTGGAAGTGGGTTCGCAGGGCTGAGAGGATAAAGAGCCCCCAGCACGCCCTCCTGGGCTTGCCCAAGGCCTCCCTCACCAGGGCCCGGCCGCTGGTGGGAAGGATCCAGGCTGCCTCATGCCGATGCGAGGTGGCAGCCGGGCGCTGGCGGCCTTGTGACCGTCCCCTCGGAACTGGGCTTGGTGCGGTGGTGGGGGAAGGGCAGCAGGAATGGCTGAGAGAGCAGCCTGAGAGGTGACTTAGGGCAGCAGCTTTTCCGGGCAAGCAGTCCCAGACCTGGCTGCCTCTTGGTTCTGACCCACCAGTGACCCGGGATGAGTCCACAAGCCTCAGTTTCCTCACCTGCAACAGGAAGGGGTTGGGCTCCTTCTGCCTCTGATTTTCCTAAGTCACAGCGAAGGACAAGGTCCTCAGAGCTTCCCGTGCAGTCCCAGCTGTGCCTAAATGTCCAGAAAGTAGCCAGATTTTCTAGACAATCCCCAGAACAACTCTGACTCAGTTTCCCCTCTGAGAGGACAGCTGGGGCTTGGCAGGGAGGAACCATAGCCTGTACACTTTGTCACCAGCCAGGCTCAGCCCCTTCACCTCCCGCCACGTCAGGGTGATGGGGAGACCCCACCCCCCCGCCCCTTCACACATCCTGTTTTTCATTCATTGTTTCCAGGTGGGCCCAGAGGAAGGTGGAGGCACGGGAGAATCTAGCAGGAGGATCAGTGAGGAGCAAAAACAGGAAGGGGTTGGGAGCAGGCCATGGAAAATTCACTGCCAGGAAACAGAGGCCAGCATCTGGTTTGCATTAGGCTGAGAGAGCGTCGAAGCCCAAAGCTTGAGTGAGAGATATTGTTATCCATGCGCAGGGCAGGCGGGGTGTGACTACCCGTCAGGAACTGGCAGCTTCTCCCAGCGGGAACTCAGAGGCTGACAGGAAAAAAGAGGGAAGGCGAGGGAGAAGGGGACAGGAAACTCAGTGTCCACTGTGGCTGCCACCTCATGAATGTTATCTTCTTTGATAGTCACAACTTCACAGGGGAGAATTGTTCCCATTTTTATAGTTGTGGGGATTGAGTCCCAGAGAGGTTAAGTGACTTGCCCAAGGTCACACAGCCAAGGGAATGGCAGAACTCCCGATTAGAATTCAGGCCAAATGAGATAGGGTGGAACACTCAAACCATCCCACGGGTGGATTGAGGCTGACTGTGTGCCAGGCAAGGGGCCACTGAGGATTTGGTGATGAGCGCGGGCCAGCCTCTGCCCATGGGGTCACTCAGTTCATGTGGGGGGTGTCTGACAGTGCCATGGGGCACTGTTCATGACACAAGGTGGACCACGTGTCTGAGGGCTCCAGCCCAACGCCTGCAGAGGAGAAAGCAATCCAGAGGGGAAGGCTTCCTGGAGGAGGGGGTATGAGCAAAAGAGAATTTTATCAGAGGGGGTGGGTTGGAGTGGAGGATGCAGAGAGGGGGTAGTGTGAGGAATGTGGGAAGAGGGGGGTGTAGGGCATGTCTGGGCAATAGCAGCTGGCCTGATGTGCCTCAGAGGGAGAGATTCCACTTTATAGTTGGGGAAACTGCAGCATAGAGCCTAATGTGCGCAAGGGTCCACAGTCTGGGAGTGGGGTTGAATCCAACCTCTCTGACTCCATCCAGGTCTGCGTTCCTAACTGCTACACCATCTGGTCCCTTTTTGCTGGCGGTTAATAGTTTTAAGGGGATATTGAGGCCAGGGACCACAGGGCAGCGGGGGCCTTGCCCAAGGCCACACAGCCAACTAGTGACAGGGTCAAAGCTGGACAGGCTCTTTTCAACTTGCCAACCTGAGTGGGAAGAGGACTGGCAGCCCCATCCACGGGCCCGGTAAAAACCTGGGGCCTTAGGTATGTAGAGCGAGGCTCTCACTTCCCTTCAAGGTATCTCACCTTCCTTAGGAGGGGGGCCCAGCCTCATATGCTGTCTGCTGAGCCACGGGAGTTAATAATTACTGGGTTTAAGGAGATAGAGGCCTGTCTGGGAGGCGCCTCCCTCACTGGCCACTGCTCCTCAGAGATAGCAAAGGTTAGTGTGAGTCTCAGCCTGGGAGCGGGGAGAAGGCTCCTGCCACCTCCCCGCTTGGCAGTCTCCAGAGGCACTCTCGGTCTGGCCCTCCAGCCATGGACCCCGCTAAGGAACGCACTGAGTGCCCTGCTCGAGAAAAATGCCCTGTGTTCCTGGCAATGAGCTCAGGGACCGTCCGCTACGCCCCATCAGGTTTGGGCCTTGCACTCAAGGGCAACTTGGGAGAGCAGCCCTGGGACACAGACAGGTGAGCGGAGGGGATGGTGGAATCTTGCCACTCAGCAGGGGCATTGGGGGAGGGGTGAGAGGCGGGGCTCCAGACAGGGGACTGGCATAGAACTATGAGGAATTTCATGAGCATTCTACAAGGTCGGCACCAGGGGTGGCCCTGATTGTCTTGTCCAACTTGGTGGTTGTACAGATGTAGAATCTGAGGCTCAGAGAGGGCAAGACACTCATTCTTGGTCACACAGTGAACTGAAGTCCAGAATCAGGGCCTGGGTCATCTAGGCTGGCAGTCTTCTGGATGGGTCTGTGGCCAAGGCTGCCAGGCTGGGGATAAGGATGGCAGGGGTGAGGGGGAAGTTTGGGAAGGGCAGTGGCTTGGGGGCAGAGGACATACCTTTTATATTTTCTTCCCCACCTGCCGGTCAGGCACCTAGTAGGCTCCTCTTGTTGCCTGACAGCATGTAGCTGGGGCTGCCAGAGAGCCCCTCTGGTTTCTGGGCTGTCCTTTCAGAAAACTGGTATAAGGGGTCACAGCCCCTCCATCCCTGGCTGTGTGACATTGGGCAGGTTCCTTAACTTCTCTGAGCCCATCTTTTTCAACTGAGGAGTTGTGGGAGGAGCTAGTTAGGCCTTGGGAGTCCTAAGCAGCTGCATAGATCATGGGATATTTTTGGCTAGTAATTGGGGTGGTGACAGTGACCCCACACTTGTCCTTCAAAGCCTCCCTCAAGAGTCTCCCCAGCCCACCGGTCCTCCCGGGCTGAGGACCCTTCCTCTGGGGCCATAGCCCTGGACTGACACCCCCTCCACCCCTTATCTCCCACCAGTCCGGGTTACCACGACTTGGACCAGGTCTTATCTCCTGCCTGGGCTTGTGACGACTTGGAGGGTAAGCGCCCTGTTCTGAGCTCCTTTTGTGTCATCCCCTCCCCATTCCCCTAAAGAGTGAACAGAGCAAGGTCCAGGAAGACAGCAGTTGCTCAAGACTATTTGGAGAAGGATTCGTCAACAAACATAATGACATCTGCTTTGGGCCAGACCCTGGGCTGGGCTGTGGTGGGTGGAGAAGCACAGCCCCAAGGAGGACCTGGTCCCTGCCCTTGGGAAACCACAGCTGTGGAAACAATTGCCCTGCAGAGTGAAGGAGGTCTGGGCAGAATGAAAAGGACGTCACAGAGGGCTGCCCAGGTTGTTCACTGCACAAGGTACCAGCCAAGGGGGCATGAGAGCCAGACATCAAGTCTGGCTTGCCCTCCACTCACCAAGTCCTGTACCTTGGCATGGGCCATGCCCACCTAGGAAAGGAGTACCGTTCTCTAATTTGAACTAAGACACCACTCACTTGGCAAGGTGTGCCCTGGGCAGGCAGTGGCCCTGGAAGTGGAGGTCCCCACCCCACATCTCTCCACTGTACTGGAGCCCCAGGAGGACAGAGCCTGTGTCTATGCAGTTTCCTTTTGGGTCCCCAGCCCTTGTATGGCCCACAGTTTGTGCCCAGAAGGGGTGGTTGAATGCATGCATTCAAAATGCGTGCCCCAGATGAAGACGTGATAAACTCAAGCCTGGGGCCCCCGCTCGGGGTCTGAGGGTAGTGCCCCAAGTTCTAGCAATATCTGGAAGGGAAGTACTTCCTCCCATCCTCCCAGGCCTCCTCTAGACACAGAGGCTGGGAGCCATGGTCCCTGGCAGGAGGGAAGCGGGGTTATGCTCTCACTGGATCAGCCCCAGGCTGAAGTTGAGGCTGATGGTCAGGGCTCAGGAAAGGTGACAGAAGGACAGAGGGGTGGAGGGACAGGCTAGACCAGCGTTCAGGGAATCTGCAGAGGATGTGGGACCTGACAGAGGTAGGGGTGTGTGTGTGTGTGTGTGTGTGTGTGTGTGTGTGCGCACGCGCGTGCGCAATTCTCCCAGAGAGTAGATGGTGGGCAAAGGTAAGGATGGGCAGTATCTGTTCAGAGCAGGAAGGGAGGCCCCTGGTTGGGGGGGGGGGGGGGGCGGGGTTGGGGTTGAAGACTTGGGCCAAAGGTGCGGCCTCCCTCAGAAAATGCACTCAGTAGGAGTGAGAAAACTAGTTTTGGGGTCAGCTCCGCTTCTCACCAGGAGGGAAGTTGCCCAGAGACAGGCGCAGAGCAGGGAGGCCAGGGAAGGAGTGATGGCCGGAGGGCCGGGTGAGGGGGTGGGAGGGTGTCTGCCGGCCTTGAGTGACAGTCCGCTAAGAATCTGGGAGCTGAAAGCCCGGAGCCATGGTAGGCTCTTGAGCAGGGGTGGTCCTGGGAGGGTGCTGCGCTGGGCCGCGCTAGGCGCCGGATGTCTGGAGCAGAGTAAGCTGGGAGCGTCAGAGAGCAGTGCTGGCCGCAGGATGATGGGGACCCGCTCCTCCCCCACTCGGGCCGTCGCACTGTCCGGGGAGGGCGGCCGGAGCGGGGCTGGGCCGGGAGCGCGCGCGAGCTCTCCGCGTCGGCCGCCGGGGGGGCGGGGCAGGGCACGTGTCCTTGGGCCACCCCTCGGCCACATGACCCGCCGAGGGCAGGGTCGCAGAGGGACTGGGGGCCGGGGCGCGAGCCCGGGCCGCACAGACCCACAGGCAGCGGGCAAGACTGACAGGCGGCGGGGCAGCCTGGCTGGCCCGGGGCGGAGTCGGCTGCGGGCGGGGACGCGGCGGGGGCGGCGCGGGGAGATCTCTGGGCGATCGCGGCGGCGGCGCGGGGAACCGACGCCCGGGCGCCCCGAGTCGCCAGTATGTGGAGCGGGTAGGTCCGCGCGGGGTCGGGCCGCGGCTGCCTCTGGGGGTGGGACGGTGCGGGGGGGGTTCCCTGCAGTGTGTGCACCCCTACCGGGAGGTGCTCTACGCCCCCATCCCTGCCCGTGCTGTAGCACGAGGACTGGCGAGCCGGTTTGGGGTGGAAGGACATTCGGCATGGAGGGTTCAGGGGGTCTCTCTGGGGGCAGAAATTGTGAAGGGTGGGCTGCTGACCGTCCCGGAGTGACAGCGCCAACTCCTAGCTTGTCCGGAGCGCAAGTGAGATGGGGGCAAGGGGGTGTGCGGCGGAGTGCAAGCCAGAATAAGCCTGGGATAAGCACCTAGAGGAGGGACCCCCAGGCTGAGTGAACCCTTGAAAAGCAGTGCATTTGCGAAAGGGGGGACTGGGTCTCTGCCACATTCGCTTGCAAGTTGGTGAACTTCCATCTGGGGCTCCTGGAACCTGCTGAGCTCAAAGGCGGGTGGGACCTCCCTGCAGCCTGGAGGGGTGCAGCGCAGACTCTGGGCCCTGGACTAGTGGCTCCACTACCCATATCTGTTCCTTGATTCTTAGGGGTGGTCCCAGTCCCTGGGCAACCAGGTGTGGGACCCTTTCCCTGTATGTGCAGAAAAGCTGTGGCCTTCTCATGGAGTTGGGTAAACACTTCTTCCTCCCCATAGCCTGGAAAGACCAGGTCCTGGCGGAGATGTGGCCAGAGTGGGGGTGGGTTGTACTCCTGGAAAGAACGGGGCCAGATGGGTGGTCCCAGGACAGGGCTCCTCCCAGCCACAGCCGGGGAGTGAGGGAAGCCCCACTGGAGAGGCTGGCGGGCTGGAGAGTTCTGATGCAGGCTAGATCCACTTTACTCCATGGCACCTAGCGAAGTTCGGCGTTCGAGCTGAGATGCTAGGGGAGGGCTGGGGAGTCATCCCCAGCAGGGGCTCCTGAGAGAATGGGCTCCTGGTAGGGGTGAGGTGTGGAGACACGTGAGACTCTTAAAGGGAGAGAGTTAAGCAGAGCCTGGATTCTTGTGGAATTGCGCCCTGGGGGAAGGAGACTGAGCTTACGGAGAAGGTGGTTGAGGTGGGTTGGTGACAGCTGGAGAGGTCAGGGAGATCCCACCTGGGGTAAACCGTGCTTGAGGAGCTTCTGGAGGAAGCTCGTGACCCCTTGTGTTGGGTGCGCCCAGGCAAAACACAGCCACCGAGTTGCTGTGTGATCTTGAGAGTATGGCCTCACTGCCCTGAGCCTCAAGGTGAAATGTGTGGGTTGTATGGTGGAGGTAATCCAGGCCCAGAGAGTGTCCTTTCCTGGAGGCGTCCAGGCTGGAGCCAGACAGACAAGTCTGGGAGGTGCCAGTAGACGGATGCTCACTTTAAAGACTGGATCCAAGAGTCCCGGGACCGTTCTGGATGGACCAGGCTGCCAAGCTGACGCCCGCTTGATCCTAAGTGTGGCTTACTTGGATCCCCCAGGGTGTAGCTGGGTGCAGAGCACATAGTAGGTGCTTCATAAATGCAGATGGAAAGCATGAGGGGCAGAACGAGGAGCTGGGCATCTGGGGAGTGAGAGGCAGAGTTTTGGGGTTACCTTGAGCTCTGCCTTTTCATGGCCCCCTTACTTGGATGTTGGAGGCAGGGGCCAAGCTGCCAGCACCCGCTGGGGTCCTGGGGTCCTACGAGCTCATGCAGACCCCAGCAGCAGCTGGGAGGCACGCTGCTCAGGTCACACTTGCCCGGGTAACTGACTGAGCTGCTGTGACACCTCTGGGCAAGTGCATACTTGGGACCCTTCCTTCTAGACTAGGAGGGGTGAGGAGTTGGTGACTCTGGCTAAGCCATTGATGTCTCTGGGGCTTGGTTTCCTTACCTGGAAGACAACAGAGATACGTCTCTTGGGTGACTGCTCTGTTAATGGCCAGGTCATAGTGCCAGTTCACCTTCTTGGCCCTGGACTCAGGGCTGCTCCCCTGGGGTGGGTGGAAGTGGCAGGACTCTACAGGAGCTCAGGTGGACCCTCTTCCTTGGGACTCCTTGAGTGTGGGCCCTGAACTCAGAACCCAGAGGTGGCTCCCCCAAAACAGGACTGCTCCCCTCCCCCTCCCCCACAGTGTCCCCTGTCCATAGTCTTGGGTGCCAAGCCGGCTTCCTGGTGATGGGGTGAGGATGGTGACTGGGGTACTTCTGCTGCTAACACAGTGCTGGGCACTTGAGACTTGGTCATCAGAGCCGAGAGTTTGGGTTCTGGGCTCGTTTTCTGCCACTAAGTGGCCACATGACATTGGTGTAGCCCCTCAGTCTCAGTTTCCCCATCTGACATATGGGGCTAATCATACCTCCCTAGAAAGGGAGGGACAGGCTCTGATAGACGCCCAGGAATGAGAAAGACCACCCCAACCTCCCAGGGATGGGAGACTGTGTCTTTGCTGCAGGCAGGATGCTGGGGAGCTGCAGGGCTACAGATGAGCTGTGAGATCTTGAGAAAGTCACCTAACTGTTCTGGGCCTTGGCTATCGTAAGGAGCTTGGATCTGTGAGGTCCTGCCTTTAAGGAGTAAGTCACAGGGAACTCCAGGCTCTGAAATGGCATCTGAAGTATGGCCTAGGGGCTCCAGGGTCAAGAGCAGGAGAAAGGGGTTTTGCGACCTTCACTGTCACCTCCTCCTGGAAGCCCTCCATGATTTAACTACCTCCCACCTCCCCCTCAACAGATGGAAACGTCTTTCCTGCTGTCCCTAATCAGCACATCTGTCTGTGGCACTCAGTAGAGTCCTGCTTGTCCTAGACTCTCCCCACACGGGATTTGTGCTCAACAGGGTGGGGGAAGGGAAGCAAAATGAATTCAAGTGTGATGAGAAGGGGGCTTGGTGATGTGGCTGCCAGAACCTGTGCACACTGGGTGGGTCTGGGCCGGTGGAGTGCCTGGCACACGATAGGTGCTCACTGCATATGTGTTGGATGTTTGAGGGCTTGGGGTGTCAGATTCTTCTAGGACTAAACAGGCAGATGTGAGGTGTGTGCCATGTGCCCTGCTCTACCTCAGTAGAGGAGGGAGCCCTCCACCCTTTCAGGCCTTGTGCCACCTCCGGTGGAGACACAGGGCTGGATTCCCTCCCTCATCAGGGCTGGGCTGCGCTGGGCTGGGCTGGCAGGCCTGGGGCTATGGCAGGGAGAGGCTTGGCCTGGCCCCCCTGCCTCAGGTGTTCTGACCTCCCTGCTTACCACCCTGAAGCTGTTCCTCACCTCCTCCTCCCTCCTGCTGCCTGTCCTACCAGGCACACACCTGCTTCCCCCTTCCTGGAGCGGTCCAGGCCCACCCTCTCCTATGCTGGGGGTCCCGCTTGGCTCACTTCCCGGCATTCTTCTGGTGCCTCGTATGACCCTGTTCTCCCATTCTTCTGGAACCCTCCCCTCCAGCGCCTCTGATGGCTCGTGTTCAGGTCTCCAGGCTGGCTCTCTGGCCCTCAGCTCCTCTCTCACCCACCCCTCATCCAGGCTCAGGGCTGCAGCTGCTCCCTCTGGGCTGGTGCCTCCCCTCAGCCACCACTTCCCCAGTGCCTCAGCCACGCCCCTTACCTTCCCTGAAAGACCCCCTCCCAGTTCCTCAGTCATGTCATGGGCACTGCTGTTCTCAGTGGGCACTGCTGTTCTCATTCACCTTGGCCTCCGTTTTTCATTATATTAATTACTGCAACTTTTGTTCTGTTCCCCTCTCCAGCCCCTGGTCCTCCCCTGATTTCCTCCCCACCCCCGCCCAAGTCTTTTGTCTCTGTGTGTCCCCTCTGTGTGTCCCCTCCCAGCCCAGAGCCTGCCTGGCTAGAACGGCAGCCTTGGGTGGAACCGTACCACCACCACTCAAACACTATCTCCAACTTCCTCAAACCCCCGTCTGCATCCTGCCTCACTTCTCTGAAACCACCATTCATCCCCTTTCTGCCAGTCCTGACTTTTTTGGGTGACAGTTCACATGATGCACTAGTGCCTGGACTCTGGGTTCAGTTTCCCCACTGCCACTTCCTTGCTGTGTGTTCCAGCCAGGTCGCCATCCCTCTCTGAACCTCGGGTGCCTCGTCGTTCAAACTGGGCTGGCGAGAGCATCTCCCTGTGGCAACATCGCAAGTTGACACACAATGACGTCTGTGGGGATGTGGAGTGGTGGGCTGGCGTGGACGTGAACAGGAGCTTGAGAATCGGATCTGTTTGTGGGTCTGGAGCTGAAGACTTGGCCACTCTGTAGGCTGAGCCTGGCTGGGCTTGCTGGTTGGTTGGGGACCCTACACACGAAACCTTTCCTGGGACCCCTTGGCCTCATTACGAGAGTCACTTGCCTGTCAGCCTCAGTGTCCTCAGGGCTTACTGGACCGCCCATAAGTGTATGAGCGTGATTCTGAACTGGGCCCCTGTGCCATGGCTGTTCCTGAGCTGCGCCCTGGGTCAGAATTCCTGCAGACCAGACCAGCTGTAGTCGCCCTGGAACCCGGGCTTGGTGGCCCCAGGCAGAGGGTGAGGGTCGCAGTCTGCCCTCCCAGCCCTCTCCTTCCCCTGGTTTTCAGTGCTTTCTTCACTGGCTTCCCCGCTGCTTACTTAATGAACCCACTGTGCCTGTTAGCACAGGGGAGGGGTCTTTAACTCAAAGAGGTGACCTGGGCACTGGGGGGCAGAGAAGGGGAGGTTAGGGCAAAAGGACCCCATGGCTGGCTGGTTGGGCTGGGGCTGGGAAAGGGTATCCAGGACGCTACCTGGGTCCATCTGGCCCCGGGAGTGGGCTCCGTTCAGGCCCTCCTGGCCCAGTGGGGTTGCTGGGTGACTGGGGACCGTAGAATCCAGGGTGGGCCTCATTTCGCCATTTTTTCTGCTTGGGGACAAAAGCCCTGCTGGCCCTCCTCGGGGTGGCCTGGGGAGTGAGGATTGAGGTTACTGCTTTCCCCTGCCTTGTGTGTTTCCTGGGGAAGTCACCCAGTGGGGCCTTTCCTGTATGAGCTGCCCTGGGCTCTAGGCCGCAGGGCTGGCTTCGGGATGGGGGATGTTGGCTACCCCCACCTACCTCTGACCTTGACTCTTAGTATCTCCCACCCCCCTACCCGAGCAGACCCCTTCCTAGCCGGCCCTGCTGTGTGTCCTGGACACTGAACTCTGTGTCTGCAGGGAATGGGGTCCGAGAAGGTTTGTGCACAGGGCCGTGGACCTGGACTGGAAGGGGAGGTGCACGGCAGGAGGACTCCAGTGGTAACCCGTGCTCGCCCAAGGAGTGAGCTCCCCAGCCCCCAGGCATTCACACCCGGATTTTCGGGCCTCTGGTCTAGGAGACTGAAGTGTGTGGGAGATAGCAGATGCTGGCTTGGGTGGACCCGAGGGGCCTGGGCTCCCTCCTTCATCTGAACTTTGAGTCACGGGAGCTGGCCTCATAGCCCAGAAGTGTGAGGGGCAGGGTCTGCAGATTTCAGTACAGGGTGGACCCTCCTTCCCTCCAGCTTCTGCACCCCTGGCCCAGGCATTGGGCATTTGGTGACCACAGGGTGGTCCTGCTGTTCCCATGCCTTCTGCCATGAGGATTTGCTCATGGGCTTTTCCACCAGGGACAGGGGGAGGGTGTCACACTCTGTCTCAGGCCTCCCTGGACCACTGTTTCCTCTGGCTGCAAAATAGGGCGCCATCCCCCCAGAAGTAGACCAAAGTGAGCCTGTTAGGAAAATGATGGGGGCCGTCTGGACGCACCCCCAGCCCGTGCCCTTGGGACCCACTGGAGAGTCCTCCACTGTGGCCAGAGGCCCAGACCATACTGGTGGACGAAGCTCAGGCCTCGTGGGAGGGGCTGGCGGCCTTGTTCCCCTAGGCAGGCGGTGTTGGCAATGTCAGGGTGGTCCTTGTTGTGGGGCTAGGTGTCTGAGACCTGGGATCCTGCCCTGTGCCCTGTGCTGTCCCTGAGTCAACCCCTGCCCTTGGCCTGTAGTTCCTGCTCATTCTATTGTAGTGGGCAGTCCCGAGATGGGGTCCCCACCAAGCCTGAGTGACTGTGGCCATTCTCTCAACTGAGGAAGTGGGGCTGGGGCCCAGGCCTCCAGGTTCCCACAGTGGGTACATCCCCAGGGCCTGGGGTTTCAGGTGCAGGACACAAGAGCCTGGGCAGGGATGGTGGAGGTGGTGGAGGTACCTGGCAGATAGCCCACTATTTACCTGGCGCTGTAGCCAGTGACTTCCTCATCGGATTCTCAGTGTGTCCCTGCAGGTTTTAACCGCCATCCCACAGGCGGGGAAGCAGGTTGAAAGAATTTCAGCAACTTTCCCAGGGGCTCGCGTGGACCCCAGGTCAGAGGCTGGCATGGACCCGGCCGTGCCTGACTGGCCTGTGCTCTCAGCCACAGCTCCCCCAGTCCTGGCCTCCCTCCTGGGAGGCAGTTTCTCTGCCTGAGCAGAGGCTGAGAAGCCAGTTTGGGCTGGAATTGGGTCAGATTTTCCTGTCACAGCCAGGGAGGAGCCTCCTGGATGCCCCTGGGCCCAGCGGCCCTTGATCCCAAGGCAGATGCAAAATTCTGTAGCCCACACCCCACCTGCCTGTCCGCTGTGGCTGGAGAGCTTTGGACCTGAACTGAAGACCTGGCCGCCTGTCCCACCAGTGCCACCGACTAGCTGTGTGGCCCTGGGCAAGTCCCATTACCTCTCTGAGCATCCGTCCCTCAACTGTAGAATGGGAACAATACCATGAATGCTGCTGAGAATTTTAAATGAGATAACACGGGCAGAGCACCCTCATGAGTCCCCTGGGTGCAGACCCCAGCCTGGGGCTGCCACAGTACTGCCAGAGACCCTTAAGCTTCAGGGACTGCCCCCCTTCCTGACTAGACCCCCCCCAAGCAAAGTATTAGGAAAGATCCCTGTCCGGCATAAACACTGTTGATGGAGTGGTGGGTGTGTGTTCCCACTTTATTCATCAAAGCCCCACGTCCTAGCAAGGCAGGACCCAGCCCCAGGAACCTTGAGGCCACACTCGGGGCCAGTCCCAGCAGATGGCAGGCTGGGCTGGGCAGCTGGACAGGGCCATGCGGAGGGTCGGGAAATGGGCTCATTGCTGGGGTCCCTGGGTGCCCTCTGTGTTACCTAAGGGCAAACTGAGGCTCCGGGGCCGCTTAGTGACTGTCCCAGGGCCCAGAAGACAGGGAGGTGGGACCGGAGAGACCCTGGCCTTGTGTTACTTCCCGTCCGCCATCCTGAATTTCATGACCCCTTGGCCCTGTCTTTCCTCCCTCCCGTGTGGGCCCCTCTTGGCCCCCTCCCCTCCACTTCCCCACTGCTATCAGCAGCCCAGCCCCCAGCCTCGGCCCAGCCGCTGCAGCTCAGAAGCTGCTGGCTCAGGAGCCGCCAGCTTTTGCTGAGTGAGCGAGTCCAGGGTGCTGTCTTGGCACAAACCGCCACGGCCCAGCCCGCTCCTCCCCTCCCTCCTCAGGGTCTGCTGCGAAGGGGGGCGCGTGGATGGGAGGTGGGCAGCGGCTGGCGGCCCCCACCCCGCACCGCCTCTAGGGTCTTCAGCTTCAGAGGGAAGAGGGTCCTGAGGCCCAGAGAGAGGGGGTGTTTGCCTGAGGTCACAAGGCAGACCAAGCAGAGAGCTGGGACTGCCCCCCTGCATGGTCCAGAGAGCAGGAAGTGGGGCTGCCTTGCCTAGGCTGTTTGCAGAACCTTCCTGCCTCAGCCGGCCCTGCCTGCCCTGGCTAGGCCCTTCCTCTCTGGTCCACCCTAAATGGCGTCGAATTTGCATAAACTATGCATGAGCCATAGCAATGAAGGCAGTTCCCACTTAATCACCTCATGTGCCAAGGTTTTCTGCACATCGCTGATCCACTCAGTGACCCTTGAGGTAGGGCCATTGGGATTGTCCCCATTTTGTACAGGGGGAAACTCGGGCTCTCGACAGGCATGCATTTACAATATCTGCTGGGCAAACAAGCACCTGCTGTGTGCTCAGCACCTCCTGTGGTCCTGGGCTGGAGGGGATGGTTGACAAAGATGAATGAGGCCTGTCCTTGCCCCCAGGAGACCCTGTGCTTGGTCATTCTGCCCTTGTGACGACCCCCGTGATGGCCTATTTTACAGATGGGGAGACTGAGGCCCAGAGTGGCAGGTGCATTGCCCAAGGCTGGTCCCTGGCCTCAGCTCTCTAGCTCTCCAGGCCTCGGGACACCACCCTGTATCTGCTCTTTGCCTCACAGCCAGCCCCACCCGGACGAGGGCCACCCACCGTCCCCTGAAGCTGTCCCAGTCCCCTGGAAGAGTGTGGGCCCCTGCAAAAGCCACAGGGATTCAGGCCTGGTGGAGACCCCTGCTGGGAAGGAAGCCCAAGGCGAGGAGGACCCTGCGGCCACCCGGCTGGACGTGTTGCGTCTGCGCAGCTCTTCCATGGAGATCCGAGAGAAGGGCTCAGAGTTCCTGAAGGAGGAGCTGCACAAAGCCCAGAAGGTGGGCTCTGAGGGCGGGGGGCGGAGTGGGGGGGGCGGTGAGGGGCCGGCCTGAGGGGCCGTGGGCTCTCACCCAACGGCCAGAGACGTCACGTTCCTGTCAAGGCCACCTGCCAGGCCTGTGCTGGGCAGGAGGGCAGCCCAAACGAAGGAGAAACAGTTTTTCTTGTGACTTTTAAACGACTTTTAGAAGTCATGACATCTCTGAAAACCGTTCCCAGGCTCTCACAAACTGACAGTTGGGGTCCAACTTCACGCTCTGAGCTAAATGGAAAAAGCATTCTAATCTGTAAAACACAGAGGAGGCAAGCTCGTGCCCTGAGGCGCACGTAAGGCGGCCCCGGGAGTGGCGCCAGGCCCGGGGCCGCTGCGGGGCTCACAGCGCCCTCCCTCGTGCCCACGCCCGCCCCGCAGGAGCTGAAGCTGAAGGATGCGGAGTGTGAGCGGCTGTGCAGGGTTCGCGGGCAGCTGGAACGGGAGCTGGAGGAGCTGACGGCCAGCCTGTTCGAGGTGCGGGGCGGGGCGGCGGGCAGGGGGCGGGGCAGCTGGGCGTCCGTCCGCGCCTGCCCCTCACGTGGAGCCCGCCGTCTTCCCAGGAAGCCCACAAGATGGTACGAGAAGCCAACATGAAGCAGGCGGCGTCAGAAAAGCAGCTGAAGGAGACGCGGGGCAAGGTGAGGCACGCGCCGGCCCAGACCTCCTGCCCACCTCTGAGCCCTGCGAGCGCCGGCCTCCGCCACCCGATCGGACCCTCGCATGGACTGGGGGGCCAGCAGGGAGGGGCAGAGGCATCCGAGATGGCCCCACTGAAACGTTCCCGCTGGAGTGGGAGCCCAGCTCCCTGGGACTCGAGCTGTGTTTCTGCTGTACCACGGAGACCTTTCTGGGGGCCTTTTCAGGGGCTGGGAGGATCCTGTGGCCATTGTAATTTCTTTTCCTCCGTCCCATACCGCCTTTACAAAGCAGAAACCTCAGGCTGGCTGTGTGAGCCTGGGCAAGTAGCTTTATCCCTTGGAGCTCATTTACCCATCTGTAAAATGGGAGGGCTGGGCTGTTCCTGGCTCCTGGGGGCCCCTCAGTGGGAGACCCAGCCAGCTCCCAGATACGTGTACCTAACAGAGTCCTGGCTCCCAGTATGACCTCAGCCAGGCTGTGTCTCCTCTGAGCCTCAGTTTCCCTATCTTTGGAAAGGGTATCTCAGCCCCCAACCCAGAGGCTGTTCCGAAGATAACGGGTGGAGTTAGGTGCTCAGGGTGGTCTTTCCTGAGCTGGGGTGGCAGGCAGTGGCAGCCGGGGCAGCCTCAGCCCTGGGTTAATATTGACAGCCGTCTCTCCCGGCCAGATCGACATGCTGCAAGCAGAGGTGACAGCCTTGAAGACACTGGTCATCACGTCCACACCAGCCTCTCCTAACCGTGAGCTCCACCCACAGCTGCTCAGCCCCACCAAGGCCGGACCCCGCAAGGGCCACTTGCGTCATAATAGCACCAGCAGCACCCTCTGCCCCGCAGTGTGCACCGCGGTAGGACACGCCCCCAGCCTGGACAAGGAGGGCAAAGAGGTGAGGGGCAGCGGGCAGGCAGTGGTCACAGGAAAGGGAGGCAGTGCCCACTGTCAGCCAGGCAGCGGTGCCCAGTGGGGACCCGCCTGGACCCCGCTGTGTGACGGGGAGTGTGTCCTACCCTCTCTGGGCCTCTGTGTCCTCTGGCTGTGAGGGCTGCCTGAATTCCCTGTGATAGGAGGTGTTGGGCCCTCAGTAGGGTACGTGGGGCACCTGGTCCAGGCGGGACAGTGGCTGTGATGCCCTTGGCCACGGGTCTTTGGGCAAGTGAAGCCGCCTGTCAGCACCTCAGTCTCCTCGCGTAAATGGGGTTTCCTGGGGCCACAGGACGTGGGCATCAGGAGCTCAGCTCAGGGCTGCACCCAGCGGACGCCCCTGAAGGCTGTAGTGGGATTCAGCTTCCTGGAGTCTCTGATGCCAAGGTGGCCCCAGCTCTGCCCTGCCCCAGGCCTCCCGAGCGTCCAGGGAGGAGGTGCAGGCCAGGCCTCTCCATCCCCTCCTGAGCTCTAAGCTTCCGGCTAGACTCTAATAATCTCCTTCCTCTGTCTGTCTCTGTGCACCTGTCTGTCTGTCTGTCCTGCCGGCCCAGCCCGGGCTGCCCCCTCTCCTCTCCCTGCTCCTCTGCGTGATCCCCAGCAAGGCGGTTCACCTCACCTACGAGCCGGCCTGGCAGCTCCCACCTGGGGAGCTGCCCGTGGGCCCCACCTCTGCTACCTCTCTCTCCTTTTCCCGACAGGTAAAGGCTCCGGAGAGGGGCCGCTCCCTCTGCCCCCTCCCAGCCTCTCCCTCTGCATGTGCCCCAGGGCAGCCAGCGAGTTGTGTGTGTTCCTTTCCGTGTGCGCATGCCTGCGTGTGCCGTGCGTCCCGTCAGGTCCCTGTGTGTACCTGCGGGTACCTGCGGTGTCACTCTTCAACTTACCCTCCTCAAGGAGGCAGCGAGGGTCTTCAGAATGAGACCCTGGACCCAAGTCTAATTCTCTAGGCCAAGAAACTGGCAACACACCTCCAACACACTTGGAAGTGAAACTTTTGAGTTCCAAATCTAAATTCTTCTGTGCAAGGGGAAGAGAAGAGTTCTTCTTTGGGACTCGGGTCCCCTGCATGGCTACAGGGGACAGGCCCGCTGGGGCCTGCCCTGCATCCTCCCTGGCTCCCCACCTCCTGGGGCTCTGCCTGTCTCTGCCATGCTGGCCCCCCAGTGCCCTGCCCCCCCCCCCCCGCCCCCCCTCCCCCCCCGGGGGACGCGACCCCGTTTGCAGAGTTCCAAGCCTGGAGGGAATCGCCCACCCTGGACAAGACCTCCCCCTTCCTGGAAAGGGTGTACCGGGAGGACGTGGGCCCCTGCCTGGACTTCACCATGCAGGAGGTGAGGCAGACAGAGGGTGGCCCGCCGGGGGGCCCGGCCCTGCAGCCGGCGGCCAGCCCCTCACCACCTCCCACTCCTCCCTGCTCTACCGCAGCTCTCAGCCCTGGTACGGGCCGCCGTGGAGGACAACACGCTCACCATCGAGCCCGTGGCTTCGCAAACACTGCCCGCGGTGAAGGTGGCCGCTGTTGAGTGTGGCCGTACCAAGTAAGCTTAGCACCCTGCCCCCGGGAAGGGCCCGCATAGCCTTGGGCTGCACCAAGGGGGTGGCCAGGGAGGACTGAGCCTCAGGCCTGCCTGCTGGGTCCTGCAGTGGGACCTGGGGGTGGGCAGGGGCACCTGACCAGAGAGGGACAGTGGCTGCCTCCGCGCAAGGCAAGGAGGCATCTTTGGCAGACATGCTGCCTCTAGTCATGGAGCTGGGGTCTCCTCCTTCCTGGCTGGCCTGACGTGCATCTCTCTCCTACCCCCTCTCTCCCACAGTGGGTTCCGGGCCCCGATTGACACGTAAGTGACGTCATTTTTCACTCCACCTCCTGACAATGACCCGATGGCCCTGGCATCTTGTCCTCCCTGCTTCTCAGCTGGCATTGGGCAGGGCCAGCAGCAGAGCAAAGCTGCCAGCATGGAGCAAGGGCAGGGACTGGGGCCTGCGAGGGAGGCCCCTGGGTGGGAGCCTTGTCACAGAGGGGAACATTTGAGCCGGGTTTTGAAAGATGAATAGCAGTTTGCTGAGCAGGGAAGGACCTTTCAGGCAGAAGCAACAGCATGAGTGGAGGTATGAGAAGCTGGAATATTAATGGAAACACGACTGGATCGGTGGGCGGAGCAGTGGGGTGGGTGGGCATGGGGTTGGGGCTGAGGCCACAGAGGGTGTTTGGGGCCAGAGTGTGAAGGCCTCAAGTGAGGTTTGGGCTTTAACCCACTGAGGCCAGCATTTCACAAATCATCGATTAACGTTCCCTGAAAAGAGGGTTCCCTGGTCCAATCAGAGTCACAGTGAACCTGGAGGCAGCAAAGGCTCTGATAAGTCCTGCAACCAAGGAGCCTATTTAACCTTCCTTTACTCGGGATTCTCCATAACTATTTCCTGGGCAGTAGGGAAGCAGCAGGGAAAGATAATGGGCTAGATGTGGGTTTTTGGAGTAGCCCCTGGCTGTAACATGGAGAAGAAAAGCAGAGATGAGGCAGAAGTCTGGTTGGAAGGAACTGAGGGCATCCGGGCAAAAGGTCCTATTGGCAGAACCTAGCCTGGGGACTTGGTGACCTAAGTGGAGGAGAGAAAAGACTCCTGCTTAGGAGGAAGGGATGACTGGGTCTGAGGGCCCTAGTAAAGTAGGGGGCAGCATTTTTAGGGGCGGCAGAGGGTGGAGCTTTGGTACATCTGGCCTGAGGTTGACCAAGCTCTCCTGCCCAGCAGGGGTGAGGTGAGGGGTTGAGGGATGGGGTCCAGCTTGGTTTAAAGGTCTCCCCCAGGGACTTCTGAGACTGCCCTCCTCCTTGGCCTGCCTCCAGGCTCCTTGGGAAGCTGGGACCAGGGGAAAGGATGCCAGGCCCCACCCTGATGTGTGTTTGCCTCCCCCTCCCTCTGTGCCTTCTCTGGCTGCTGCGTCCTCCCTGGATGAGCTGGGTGGGCAAGCCCCAGCCGTCCCCATGGTCCTGAGGTCTGCTTTTCCCTAGTACATGTGCCCTGAGTGGCCTGGCCTGCGCCTGTCGTCACCGAATCCGGCTTGGGGACTCCGAGAGCCACTACTACATCTCACCGTCCTCCCGGGCCAGAGTGAGTCATCCAATGGGAGTGTTACCTGGCTCCTTAGAGGCTCCCTGGGCTGGGACTCTGAGCCCCAGGCTGCACAACCTACAATCTACAGAGCAGGGCACAGGCTCAGAGAGGTACGAGAATGACTTGGGCCACACAGCCAAGCCGGTGTATTTGTTTGCTGTTGCTGTGTGACAAGTTACCATAAACTTAGTGGTAAACTTCGATTTAGTATCTCACAGACTCCCTGGGTAGGAGTCTGGGCACAGCTTAGCTGGGGCCTCTGCTCAGGGCCTCATGGACTGCAGTCACAGTATCAGCGGCTGCATCCTTTCTGGAGCTCAGGGTCCTCTTCTGAGCTCACATGTTGTTGGCAGAAGTCAGTTCCCTGTGGTTGAAGGACTGAGGTGGCCATTTTCTTGCTTGCCGAAAAGTAATCATGGGAATGACACCCATCAGCTCTGTCGTTTAATATAACCTAATCAAGGGAGTGACACTAGAGTTCCAGGCTCCTGACTCCTGGCTCCGGCCCCAGGCTTTGGAGAAGGTTCTGAGGCTTGTCTGTCACACAAGGCTGACAGTCAGCTGTGGGCTCTGAGGGGCCTCCAGGAATCCCAGCTTCTGCCCTCACCTGCCGAGTGACCCAGGTGAGGGTCAGTGGATCAAGGGGCCTCACTGAGCTGGGATGAGGGTGGGGTGGACCCCTTTCCTCTGTCCCTTCAAAGACAGTGAAGAAGATTGGAAAGAACAAAAGTTTGGAAAACTCTGAAGCTTGGTGCAAAGGTGACGTGGTGTGGAAGGTCCTCTTAGAGGAACCGTCTCCTCCCCTTGACCTACTAGAGGTGCCTGATGGGACTAAAGTGGGCAAATGGCCCATCATCAGGCAGTAGACTGACCAGCACAGTCAGCTTGTCGGGTCCTGACAGCCTCTGCCGGGCAGCCCAGCATGTTGTTCTGGCAAATCCCCCAGCAGCGAGCTGAGCTCCCATTACAGAGGGAGTCTGAGCCTTAGAAAGGAAAGGGGTGCACCCCAGGCCACTCAGCCTAGACCGAAGGTCTCCCCATCCTGGATCCAGTCTCTTAACTGCTGCAGTCTCCACCCCCTGCATCTGTGCCCAGAGCCTTGTTCGGTGGCCATGGGTCACCTCTGTTTTTTTCTGATCCCAACCAGGGGATCTGTGCCAGACGCTCCCATGCCTAGAAAATTACATCTAGAACGTTGTTCTGCCAGGCCTACGTGTCTGCTGTCCTGGGCAGAGCTGGGAAGGCAGAGGGGAAGGGTGTGAAGTTCTCGGATGTGGTCCCCACCCTGATGAGACCAAGGAGTGTGGAATCCATAGGGAGAAGAAAGTTCTGTCCCCAAAGCGCAGCCCTGGGGAGAGAGCCACACTGCTCCCCACCATTCCCTAGTCACGGGCCTCTGGTAGGGCCTACTGGCCACTGAGCAATGCCAGGGCCTGGGACCCAAGCTTCTCCTGCCCATCCCATCCGGCCCTACGCAGCCCCTCCTCAGCCCTCCCAGGCGGCACCTTTGCCACACTGGGTTAGTCCCCTCACCTGGCCTCTCTCACACCTCCCTGCCTTTGCCAGGGCCACCAACCCCCTGCACCCAATTTTGTCCTCCTGGCAAGGGCTCCTGTGTGTTTGAGGGCCCAGCAGGAGCATCGCCCCTCCCTCAGCTTTCTCCACTGCCCAGCCTGTGGCCCCCACACACTTGCTGTCCCTCCCCCAAAGTGCTGGGTATTCAGCATGGGCAGTTGTGGGCACACCTGCCAGCTGCCTTCCACCCTGCTTTAGGTTGGGTACCCTAGAAGCAGAGCCTAAGATGGAGATGGTGTGCAATTCTCAGGAGGCAGAATGGGGGTGGGGGGAAGGACAGGCAAAGGTGAGGCTTCAGCTGGAGTCTGGCTTCAGTCTGATCCACAGGGGCTCTGGAGCCCAGAGTGGGTTCCACCCTGAGGCACGGGCGTGGCCTTTTATACCCAAGATGCCTGTCAGTCATTGGCTAAAGTCTGTGAGGGTATGGGGTGCAGAGGGGCACCAGCAGCCAACATTCTCAGCAGTGGGGAGATGGGGCCCCAGCCTGGGGAAGGGGCCTGGGAAGGGCACTAACAGCGCCCTCTCAAAGGTGTGAGAGTCTTCGTGACAGAGCTCAGGTCTGAGCCAGCTCGGGGTCCCCAGTGCCTGGCGCAGGCCTGGCTGGGAGCAGGCCTCAGGTCAGACTGGGGGCTTCAGGTGGGGATCCAGGGCAGCCAGGTGAGCAGCTTCTGATCCCCTCACCTTTCCTGGCATTACGAATAGCACCTGGCAAGGCCTGGCTGGCCGGGGCCTCCAGTAGCCAGAGCGAGCAGGCCCCTCCGGGGAGCGTGGGTTCTAGGCAGCCTGCCCGGTTTCATCTTTGCAGCTCAGCCACTTAATAAGTGGAGGCTCTGTGGCCTCCGCAGGCGTTGTGGGGTCGTTCTCGGAGCCTCAGCGCTCCCCACGTGTAGACTGGGAATGATGGGCACGTCTGGCGCACCGGATACGCGTACTCGATTATGCTTAGTGGTCGCTATCTGTTTTATTAGGAGCACTAGTGCTGCTGTTGACTGTAACGTTAGAGCCCAGAATTATCTGAGTCTCACAGGACGTGGGTCTTCCCGCTCTGGTCTGCGATACACCCTGGCTTTTTTGGGGGGGGGAGGGGGCAAGTGTGAGGGCCGGGGGGTCACACCCTGCCCCCTCTGCCCACAGATCACGGCCGTGTGCAACTTCTTCACCTACATCCGCTACATCCAGCAAGGCCTGGTGCGGCAGGACGGTGAGCGCCCCCTGGTGGCCGCTGGGGGTGGCGCCCGGGAGGGGAAGGGCGGGGCGGGGCGGGGCGGCCGGGCCAACCCCAGGGCTTTGCTGCACCCCGTCGGAGGAGGACTCTGCGAGAGAGAAGGTCGTAGATTAGCAAAGCGATCCGGAAGCTCCTGTTGCTGAGCCCTGTGGAGAGAGGAAGAGCAGAAGGAGCCTCCTGGGCTCTGCCTTACCGGGAAAACCAGCCTGGTGCCCCCACATACCTGGATCCAGCTGCTTTTTCCCGTTCAGAAACCTCTCCAGCCCCCCGGGCCTGTAGTGACGGCATTCCTGTTACTGGCCTGGCCTACACGATGGGGCCTCCCCTGTGAATCTCCTCCCCTCTCCCGCCGCGTGGACCTCCAAGTGGTGGCTGGACACGGCTCGCCCACCTCCCCCTGTAGACACTCCCCGCCCTTGCCCAACAGGTCCTCTGTCCATCCGTTGTCCCCCTGCCCCCATTCTGCCAGGCCAGGGACAGGCCCTGTGCAGGGTCGCTGGAGAGCCCCGGGAGCAGGGGTTGGAGAGCATTTGCAGTCTGTCCAAGTGTGTGGCAGTGTGTACGTGCGTGTGCGTGTCAGGCTGTGGAGGTGACCGTCACCTCCATGCCTCCCGGGCTGCAAGCCCCCAGAGTGGAACCTCAAAGAGGTCCGGCTACTCACTGAGATCTGTCCTCAGGGACTGGGGAGTCCTAGGGTGCCCACCAGCTGCCCTGCCCAAAGCCGGGGGAGAGGCCAGGCCATCTGCCTGAGGCGACCCTGAGTGGGCACTGAGCTGTCCACCCTCTGTCTGCCTGCAGCGGAGCCCATGTTCTGGGAGATCACAAGGCTGAGGAAGGAGATGTCGCTGGCCAAGCTTGGCTTCTTCCCCCAGGAGGCCTAGGTCATGGCCCAGGCCTGGAGGGGGTCTCTGAGCTGGAGCCAACACCTGCCCCAGGAGAGACAGACAGACAGACGGGGTCCTAGAGCCAGCCCTGAGCCAGAAGCTGACCAGAGGGACGAATGGCCAGGCCGTGGAGGCAGCACTGAGCCGGCAGCAAATGTCCATCCCAGGACAGGACCTCAGGAGGTGACCTCTCCCCCCTCGTAGTACTACAGCCACCAGGAGACTTTCGAGAAAGCACCAAAGACCAAGGAGCTGGGAGCCGTACAAAGGGGCTCAGCCCTTGGGAGGGCACCCCTGGGACAGCCAGCACCCCCTCCCCAGTCCTAGGAGCTGCTGCATGCTGTTGCCTCACTGGCAAGATCTCCAGGGTATCTCCGCACCCCCCCTTTCCTAAGCCCTGGGCACCAGCACCCCCTTGTGGCCATCCCTCACCTCGTTCCCAGGTGGGCCTGCTGTGCCCAAGGGCCAGAGAGCTAGGAGGAGCGGGCGGGGGCGGACGGGGGCCTCGCTGGCTGTCTTCCACTCCATCCTGTATCTGCCTGACAATGGCCCCAAAACATCCTTAAGATGTATCAGGGGCCCTCCTCCCGCCCGCCCGCTCGACCTTCCTCCTTCCCGCCAGCTGAGCCCGATGCTGCAAGGAGCCTTCGCCCCCACCACTGCTGGGAGGATCGGGGCACTTTCCTCCCAAAGTAAAACACAGACAGGCCTCAGGATGCCCGGGCCTGTTTTCAGCTGTGGATGACCGTTCCGACGACGGAGGCTGAGATCGCCCAGCCCGGTACACAGGACTGGGGTGGGGCAGGCAGGACCCGGGCCCCTCCTCCCCCCTCGCAGGCTACTCAGTACCGGGGTCCAACCTGGACACATCCCTCACCACGTCCGATTTCCTCCTCTGAATGGAATGTAACGCGATCTCTATTTAATAAAGGACGGCTTTGTTGATAGAGGCCAGGCAGCCACGCGCCTTCACTCCTGCGCCCTGGGGCTTGGGCCAAGGCTTGGGCATCTGAAGGAATGAAACAAAATCCTTTCCTTGCCCGCCCTCGTGCTTGGGATTAAACCCAAATCCTGAAGGGATTGCTGGAGGGAGCACCAACTGAGTCCTCCCCAGTGTTCCTGGGGCAGTAGGTTATTGGGGGATGAGCCCAGCTCCCTCTCCTGAGAAGTGGTTTGCTGTCAGGAGAACGGGGGCTCTGTCGCTGCCTCACAGGGGATCTTGGGCAGATCCCCTTGCCATCTCCCTGCCAAGTGTCACGAAAGCCTGGAGCTCAGAGTCAGAGCATCAAGGCTGCCTGGTGCCTGCAGGGCAAGGCAGGATTGATTGGTGATGTCTGCCAGCAGCACAGCAAGGCCTGTGGTAGCTGTGGTTTTCCCCGCCCTGGTCAAGGGACAGTAGTCAGAGGTGGAAGAAGGTGGAGTCGCCCGGTCCTCTGAGAACCCAGGGTAGGCCTTGGGAGGTGCCTTGTGGGGCCTGATCCCCTCCCCACAAGTAGGGATGTGGGCCCAGGCCAGTTGGTGTCCTTCCTTGTGGGGGTGGGGCGTAGCAGCTTCTGGGTCAGTATTTACTGGGGCTGGTGATCCCTCGAGGGGACTTCTCTGTTGGCCTGAGACCTTGGGGCCACTCAGCTGGTAGGTCGAGGCCCCCCCACCCTATCACTCTCTCCAGCCAGTAGCCTTTTCCCTCTCGCTCTCCCGCCTCCAAGACTCTCCCTCTCTTCCCAGCCCTCCCCACTACTCCACTAGTGATTTGAATCCCTTCTGTCTCCCCAGCCCCCTCGGATGTTCACCGGTTAGGCCTCCTGTCACAGATGTTCATTCATTCACTCAACAAACGCTGGGCAACTCATATGCCAGACACTTTTCCTGGTGCCGGGGGTACCTCGCTTGAGCTGAGACGCTCACGGGGAGACTGGCAATGAAAACAATGCACGGGTGACATCCACGGTGTCAGATGGAGGAAGGAAAACAAGGAAGGCGATGGAGTATGTCAGGGAAGGGTGTATCCTGCCGCATTATATGGGGTCACCTATGTCCTCTCCTGCATACCAGTCTCTTTCTGTCCTGGGTCAATCCTGGGTCAGCCAGGGGACAAGGGAGGATGAAGGTCTGGGCCCTGGAGCTGCCCGTTCCTGCCCTGAGCTTCTGTGCTCCCGGTCCAGCCACACCCAGCGCCAAGGAGACACCAGGCAACAGTTCAGGCAACCTGGCAGAGAATCCCCACGGCCAGATGTGCTCAGCCTGAGCCTGCCAGGTGAGCAAACAGTAGCTGAGATGCCTGGGGGGTGCCTGTGACCCTTACACTCTGGCGTCAGTACATAATAGCTGAGCACTTACTGTGTCCCGGGGCTCGTTCCACACCCTTTACGTGAACAATTCACTTAATCCTCAGGACAACCCTAGGAGGTACTGTTTTCCTCATTTTGCAGATGAATCGACCGAGGCACCACGAGGTCATACAGGAAATGGTGGCCCCAGAATAGGAATAGATGAGCCCAGCTCCAGAGCCCACGGTGTGAGCCAGCTTCCTAGACGCTTCATACTCACCACCTGCCGCGTCCCGGATGCTGCGTTAGGTCCTTCCCTGTTTTTCAGGAATGTAGAAACAGGCTCAGGCAGTGGCGGAGCAGAATTTGAATCTAGGTTTGTTTCTCACCTTTACCCCGTGAGGGGTGCCCTCACCCCTGCTCTGCAGGCTTCTGGGGGTGGGTATGGGGGGAGCTCAGGGCTTTGGCTTTTGGAGTTGGGGGGCGGGGAAGGTTAGCTCACATCAGCCACACAGGAGTTGTTCCTCTTAAGTGAATTTTCTAGATAACCCACTCAGGTCTCTCTAAGTAGTGCCGCACAGGTGGCCACCTCTTACAAGCCAGCACCAACCACAGTCTCCAAGCCTGAGCCCAGCCCCACCCTGGCCTCACACGTTGCGCTGCTGTGTCACATTTTGCCATCTGCCAAGCCTGTACCGATTGGGTCCTGCCAGGGTTGTGTACCTGGGCAAGTCACTCCTCTCTGGGCTTCAGTTTTCTCATCTTTGACTTGGGAATATCAGACTAAATGACCTTTGCAGCCCCACTCTTTCCCTTTTTTTTTTTTCCATTTATTTTATTGTGGTGAAAACCCACACAGTTGACCATCTTAGCAATTTTTCATCGTATAGTTCAGTAATGTTAAGTATATTTGCATTGTTGTGAAACAGCTCTCCAGCACTACTTTTTTTTTTTTTTTTTTTTTTTTTTTGGTCGCCGGCCCTCTCCCTTTTTTGGCCCCTCCCGTTGTGGGGCCCAGGCTCCGGACGCGCAGGCTCGGTGGCCACGGCTCACGGGCCCAGCCGCTCCGCGGCATGTGGGATCTTCCCAGACCGGGCACGAACCCACGTCCCCTGCATCGGCAGGCGGACTCTCAACCACTGCGCCACCAGCACTATTTTATCTTGCAAATCTTAAACTGTGTACCCATTAAACAAATCCCCTCCCCCATCCCTGGCCACCACCATTCTATAACTACTTTAGAGATTTTATATAAGTGAAGTCATGCAGTATTTGTCTTTTTATGACTGGCTTCTTTTATTTAGCATAATGTCCTCAAGGTTCATCTGTTTTGTAGCCTGAGACAGGATTTCCTTCCTTTTTAACGCTGAATAATATTCCATTGTATTCATAGACCACGTTTTGTTTATCCACCCTCTGTTGATGGACATTTGGGTTGCTTCTACCTCTTGGCTATTGTGAATAATGCTGCTATGAACATGGAAGTACAGATATCTGTTTGAGACACTGCCTTCACTTCTTTTGGATATTTAGAGGTGGGATTCCTGGATGATATAGTAGCTCTTTTTAAAAAAAAAAATTTATTTATTTATTTGTGGCTGCATTGGGTCTTGCTCTACACGGGCTTTTCTCTAGTTGCGGTGAGCGGCGGCTACTCTTCGTTGCGGTGCGCGGGCTTCTCATCGCGGTGGCTTCTCTTGTTGTGGAGCACAGGCTCTAGGCGCGCGGGCTTCAGTAGTTGTGGCATGTGGGCTCGGTAGTTGTGGCTCACGGGCTCTAGAGCGCAGGCTTAGTAGTTGTGGCACACAGGCTTAGTTGCTCCGTGGCATGTGGGATCTTCCCTGACCAGGGCTCGAACCTGTGTCCCCTGCATTGGCAGGCGGATTCTTAACCACTGCACCAGCAGGGAAGCCCCCATATAGTAGTTCTATTTTTAATTTTCTGAGGAAACTTCATACTGTCTTCCGTAGCAGATGCACCATTTTACAATGCCACCGATAGTGTACAAGTGTTCCAATATCCTTGCTAACACTTGTTTCACTGGTGTTTTTTGATAATAGCCATCCTAATGGCTGTGTGATATCTTATTGGTTTTTTTTAATTGACGTATAGTTGAATTCCAATGTTGTGTTAATTACTGCTGTACAGCAAAGTGACTCATTTATACATATATACACATTCTTGTTCATATTCTTTTCCATTATGGTTTATCACAGGATATGGAATATATTCAATAGTTCTCTGTGCTATACAGTAGGACCTTATCCTACTGTTGTTTATGCGTTCTATATATACCAGTTTGCATCTACTAATCCCATACTTTTCCACTCCTACCCTCTCCCACCCCTCGGCAACCACCAATCTATTCTCTATGTCCCTGACTTTGTTTCTGTTTTGTAGGTAGGTTCATTTGTGTCATATTTTAGATTCCGCATATAAGTGATATCATACGGTATTTGTCTTTCTTACTTCATTTAGCATGATAATTGCAAGTTGAATCCATGTTGCTGCAAATGGCAGTATTTCATTCTTTTTTATGGCTGAGTAGTATTCCATTGTATATATGTACCACATCTTCTTTATCCATTCATCTGCCAGTGGACATTTAGGTTGTTTCCATGTCTTAGCTATTGTGAATAGTGCTGCTATGAACATAGGGGTGCATGTATCTTTTTTTTTTCTTTTGTATAAAACACAGTCCCTACCATTTATTTATTTATTTTTATAAATTTACTTATTTTATTTATTTTTGGCTGCTTTGGGTCTTTGTTGCTGCATGCGGGCTTTCTCTAGTTGCAGTGAGAGGGGGCTACTCTTCATTGTGGTACACGGGCTTCTTATTGCAGTGGCTTCCCTTGTTGCAGGGCACAGGCTCTAGGCACGTGGGCTTCAGCAGTTGTGGCTCGTGGGCTCTAGAGCACAGTGTTAGTAGTTGTGGCGCACAGGCTTCGTTGATCCACTGCATGTGGGATCTTCCCGGGCCAGGGATCAAACCCGTGTCCCCTGCATTGGCAGGCGGATTCTTAACCACTGCACCACCAAGGAAGTCCCACATGTATCTATTTAAATTATAGTTTTGTCTGGATATATGCCCAGGAGTGGGATTGCTGGATCATATGGTAATTCTATTTTTAGTTTTCTGAGGAATCTCCATACTGTTTTCCACAGTGGCTGCACCAACTTAAATTCCCACCAACAGTGTAGGGGTGTTCCCTTTTCTCCACACCCTCTCCAGCGTTTGTTATTTGTAGACTTTTTTTTTTGTAGACTTTTTAATGATGGCCATTCTGACTGGTGTGAGGTGGTACCTCATTGTAGTTTTTTGTTTTGTTTTGTTTTTTAAATTAATTCATTTATTTTTGGCTGCGTTGGGTCTTTGTTGCTGCGTGCGGGCTTTCTCTAGTTGCGGCAAGTGGGGGGCTACTCTTCTTGCGGTGCACAGACTTCTCATTGCGGTGGCTTCTCTTGTTGTGCAGCACGGGCTGTAGGCACACGGGCCTCAGTAGTTGCGGCATGTGGGCTCAGTAGTTGTGGCTGGGGGGCTCTAGAGCACAGGCTCAGTAGTTGTGGCGCACAGGCTTAGTTGCTCCATGGCATGTGAGACCAGGGCTCGAACCCGTGTCCCCTGCATTGACAGGCGGATTCTTAACCACTGCGCCACCGGGTAAGCCCCCT